ATAGATAGATAGACAGATAACCAAGAAGCCAATATAGATAGATGAAAGAGATTATTGAGAAAAAGAGTATATATAGATATATATAGATAGACAGATAACCAATATGCCAATATAGACAGATGAATGAGATTATATATATATATATATATATATATATATATATATATATATATATATATATATATATATATATATATATATAGATAGATAGATAGATAGATAGATAGATAGATAGATATAATAGATAGATAGATATAGATAGATAGATAGACAAATTGATAACCAAGAAGCCACTTTAGATAAATGAATGAGGTTATAGAAAAAAAGAAAAAGAAAAAAAGAATACATATAGATATAATAGATAGATAGATAGACAGATAACCAAGAAACCAATATAAGAGAGATGAATGATATTATAGAAAAAAGAAAAAGAAAAAAAGAGTATATATATATAGATAGATAGACAGATAGATGACCAGAAGCCAATATAAGATAGAGAAACGGTTAAAAATTCCCTAATAGACATAACAGTAACATCAAATTCCATGCAAAATAGACAAGACAATAGACAAGAACAAAAACAAAAACAGCAAGAACACCACATTGAAAAAATAATTTGCCGAAGTCCCCCCTAAAAATACCCTCCCCTGACCCCCTCCCCTCCCCCTCCCCATAATGCCTTCTGGCTCCCCTATCCCCACCCCTACCCCTCTACCCCTTCCCCTTCCCATTTACCTATCCCTTCCCTTATCAGCTATCCCCAAAGTTACTCCCTATTCCCCAATCCCCTCCCCTCTATTTCTCTATATTTCCCTCCTCTCCCAAATCCCCAAATTCTTTCCTTTCCCTCCCCACCCCTACTAATCCCTAAATCCTCTTCCCCAATTTCCCTCCTCCCCCTAATCCTCTTCCCCACCCCCCCCCATCTCCCTTCCCTAATCCTCCTTCCCCATTCATCCCATCTTCCCCATCCCTCCCGGCAATTCCAAAATCTCCCCCACCTTCCCCTCCCCAAACCCTTCCCCCTCCCCGCCTACCCCCCCCCCAATTTTCCCCAATCCGAAATCTTGCATAATCCTTAATGAGCCGCATAAACAAGACTCAGGAAGCCTTCAAGAACGCCCATCTTAGCGGTTTTTCGCTACGACCCCCCGGCCCCGTTTCCGCTCCCTTCCCGTGGTTTTCCGCTAAGCTGGAATATATGGTGTTTATTCATGCACTGTGGAGC